GAGGGGCAGGGGTAATAAACCAGCCACTTGGTATTAATTAGCAAGTGAAAAATAAAGTTAAAAAAAAAAAAACAGATTCACAATAGCCAAGAAGTGGACGCAAGTCCCTTGACATATGAATAAACAAAACGTGGTATGTACGCACAGTGCAGTATCTTTCAGCCTTAAAGAGGAAGGAAATTCTGACACGTGCTACAACATGAGGAATTTTAAGGACATTATGCTAAGTGATATAAGCCAGTCACAAAAAGACGAATACTGTATGATTCCATTTACATGAGGTACCCAGAATAGTCAAATTCATAGAAACAGAAAGTAGACTGGTGGTTGCCTTGGGCTGGAGAGCGGGGGAAATGGGGAGTTATTGCTTAAGGGGTGCAGAGTTTCTGTTGGGGATGATGAAAAAGTTCTGGAGGTTGGTTGCACAACAGTGTGGATCTCGTTAACACTACTGAACTGTAGACTTAGAAGTGGTTAAGATGGTAAATTTTATGTTATGTATTTCTTGCTGCAATTTTTAAAAAATCCAGAATGCCAGTCTGTTATCTTACAATGAAAATACATCTAGCAGACGGGACATTCCGGTTGCCCCGTGTGACCAATGTGTTCTCTCGCAGCAGAGGAGCCACGTGGACTCGGGGCGAGGGAGTTAGGAATTGGGTTTGAGGTATCCATCTCCAGGACAAAGCTGGGCTGGGTCTGGCAGATCATGTCCGTGGGCCTAGGCAGCCTCTGCCCTGCTGGGAGAGGCTCCACCTGTTGAACTGGGTAGGCCGAAGTCCCAAAGACAACGCACACTCTAACAGCATGGCTTACACCTAGAGGAGGTTCACTCTCAGGCATGAGGGTCATTTCCAAACCCACAGGTGGCACCATCATCACTTTACCACATTGTGACTCATGTAGCAGGAATTGCTGTATTATCTTGATTCAAACTTAAAATGTTTCCTACATGACATCTTTTTAATGATTCAGATTGCCTTCTGATTTATGTGCGTAAATAGGATTACTAATTTTAATTAATCTAGGGAGATATATTATTTGATGTGCATATAAAAGCCAATTAGTTTATCAAGGTATCTACTATTAATAGTATGTTGTTGCTAAGTAAGAAACAGGCTTTACTTAAAAGATAGTTAAAAATGGCAGGCCCAGCGCAGTGGTTCACGTCTGTAATCCCAGCACTTCGGGAGGCTGAGGTGGGAGGATCACTGGAGCCCAGCAGAGTTCAAGACCAACATGGGCAACATTTGTCTCTACAAAAAAATAAGAAAAATTCGTTGGGCATGGTGGTGCACGCCTGTAGTCCTAGCTACTCGGGAGGCTGAGCTGAGGAGATCCCTTGAGCCCAGGAGTTCAAGGTTACAGTGAGCTGTGATTATGGCACTGCACTCCAGCCTGGGTCACAGAGTGAGACCCTGTCTCTAAAAAAAGAAAAAAAATTTAAGTGTTCTTTAATTATAAAAACATAATGCTCATGAAAAAAATTTTAATATGCATAAAGGAAAAAAGAAAGCAAATCTGGTCTTCAGTGACTTTCTAAATGCTCTTAGAATATAGCGCATGTCCAAGGCAGGCCTCCCTCCCCACCCCCACCCCTGGGCAAGCCTCTGCCTGCCTGCAGGCCCCTTGCCAGGACTAGCCACACAGTCACCTCTGGAACCCTTTTCTTCTGCTTCCGTATTTCTTTCCCTTTCTTCCCTGACTCCCTAGCCCAGACTAGACATTTGCCCCCAGAGACAGCATTTGCTTGTTAACGGTGTAGCTGGCTGGGCACACTGCCAACTCCTAGAGGGAGCGCATGTAATAAGGTGTCCACACCATAAATAAAGTATGATTTGAGGATTTTGAAGGAAGTTCATTCAAGTTTATACCAGTGAAGCAGCAAGAAAAACCAAGTCATTTGTGCACAGTCCTGAGGTGTGGACAGATGGAGATGGAGGAGGAGTTTGATTTGGCCCCTGATTAAGGAGCAGTGAGCTCAAGGAACCAGTTGTGCCCATGCCCTTTGTGACTCATCTTCTCCAGCCGCCTTGGGGCCATCTGTGGGAGCCCCAGAACCCTGCCTTTGTATGTGGCTCAGACTCCCGTGGCTCAGCTTCCAGCCCCTGCTCACGCCGACAGGCATGACAAGCCGAACGGGGACTCCAGGCCCATCTTCTCCTGGGGGTGAGTGGGTTAGGACTCCACCTAGCACAGGTGAACGCAGCTGGCCTAGGAAGGGGGTTAGGACCAGAGGCCCATCGAAGTGGTTACCAGTGGCTAGTGTATTGGAGGAGGCCTCTGAGCCCCATGGCCAGAGCAAAGAGCCCTAGCCGTGGAGCCAGGCAAACCCAGGCTGGAGTCTGGCTCAGCCTGTTAAGTAGTCTGGGCATCTTGGACTGATACCTTCACCAATGTAAGCCTCCGTTGCCTCATCTGTAAACAGGTGAAAATACTTACCTCGCAGCATCATTAGGATAAGAAAAAGATCCTGTTTATAAAGCATGTGGTGGGCAGCGGTCCCCAACCTTTTTGGCACCAGGGACCTGTTTCATGGAAGACAGTTTTCCCATGGACCAAGGGTCGGGGAGTGGGGTGTCATGGGTGGGGGGAGGTGGTATGCAGCTCAGGCAGTGATACACGGCCCGTTTCCTAACAGGCCACAGACCAGTACTGGGCCACAGCCCAGTGATTGGGGACCACAGCGGTAGAGGGTCAATAAACGGTAGCCATTATTATTAGCTTATTTTAATACATCGTCTCTACCATAAAGGGACTATGGACTTCTAGGTAATCAGTAGGGCTGGTGGTTACCTCTTCGCTGCCTGTAGATTTTGTTTTTAATTACTAGCCACTGTAGCATATTGCTATAGGATCTTACTTCCAACCCTGTGGTCCCCAGCACAGCAATCCTCAAAGCTAGCTGCATGGCAGAATCACCTGCGGCACTTAAACGCATGCAATCAGACACCTGCCATTTGATCCCCAGGGTCTGGGGTTGGAGCCTGGCCTTTGCCAGACACACAGGCTGAAGTGTGACGCTCCCACAGCAGCTACCCTGTCACAGAAATTCACAGTTCGTATCACTCTCAGGGTTCATTGCCACCTTCACCAGAACCATCTGGACGGCTTACTTAGCTTTCTGGGGTCCACATGACACCTACTGAAGTGGAATCCTGAGGGTAAGGGTGGGAACGGGATTCTGGCAAGCTGACCATGGCGACTCCATGGCACGCCCGCGTGTGCTTGTGCCGTGCGGGACCACGTGCTGCCTGCGCGAGTGCTGTGTGCAGGTTGCTGTCTTCCGCCCCTTTTTAACTCTCTCTTCGTCTATTGCTGGTCACAGACTCCAGCATGTCCCACTTAAATTTAAACACTCTCATTGAGCAACACATAAGCTTAACCAAAATGGAACACAACTGCCCTCCTGATAAATTTTATTCTTTAAAAAATCATAATGAAATACCAAATGCAGCTTCCCATTATGCAATAAGCTATTTTCTTTGAGGACATTGGGCAGCTTTATTAAGCAATTTGAAGTTATAAGAAGGAACACCCTTACTTGAATATTACATACACCTGTAGTGTGTTTTGTGATTCTGCTGAAAAACTTAATTCGATTCATGTTTTGGGTTACTACCTAAACCTGTTTTCGTGTGAAATAGGACATGGCTGAAATAGTGTTGTTTTGTTTTTTAAGTGACATACATCTGCAGAAGACAGACTTTCATTTTAACAACTAAGGATCGGTCAGTATTTGAAGGACAGTACAGGGCTCGCTGTCATTGCTCAGGACTGCAGGAGCAACAGGCCCACGCCCAGCACCCCCCAGCCCCCGCCGCCACTCTGCCTAGGCCTCCACCCCAGCCCTTGCACGCAGCAGTGCTGCATTTGAACAGTTTAAAGGCTTTCAGCCGCACACCTCTGCTACTGCAGGATGGCAAACACCGTTTCCTGCCCTGACCCTACTTCTTACAAATCTGCAGAAAGGTTTGGTTTCCTTGTGCCTCAGTAAATAAGGAAAATGCTTTCTTATGAGGTTGTTCCAATAACTGAGTGTTCCTTGCTGTCCTCTACAAAAATCACCATCTGCTCTCCCAGATTCTTCTGGAAAGAGCTTCATAACCATATCATCCTGACAGTGGTGCTGCAAAGAAAGGGAAACAGCTCCTTCCATTTCCTGGCTGCTATGCCCACTCCCGCGCCCCCCCTCCACAGCCCATGCAGCCGGGCACCACAGGGGACAGCCGGTTCCTGTGTCACTTTCTGCAAGACCACGACCAACCTCAAAAGAGGAGAATGTGGCGCGCTGAAGGATAGATACAGTGTCTCCTCCCAGGGGGTCCCGTGGCTTTCCTCTGACTCCCAAGGAAGGGGCCGAGCAGCGGGTGTCTCACACTTTTACTTTCAGTCTGAGTTACATAATTTCCAGGCTTCCCTGCAGTTTCCTCCTCCTGAGCTGTTTACACAGAAACTCTTACCTACCAGGCATCACATGACTTTTCCTCTGTTTAGAAGATGTGGAAGGCTGTGTCCCAAGTTTTCCTACCTAAGATCCTTTTCAATAGGGGACGAATTCAGCCTATCTGAAGATCAAGAGTTGTGGGTGGCCTTTGTGATACTGTTAGCACGCCCACCCCGGGCCAATAAACAGTCTTCTGATGAATAACGGCCCTTCCTTCTCCTTCCCCACCTGTCTGTCATCTGGTCATGATGACGGTAACCATGGCAGAAGCACACATACCCCTTCCAGAAATCCAGGGACTCATTTTGGGAAATACTTTCATAATTAAAGCCTTTTGAGAAATTGCTATGTCTTTCTTGAACTTATCTAATTTTTTTCCAGAGATACTTTAATCCTGCATTAAGGGGAAACCCACCCCAAAACGGTCCTACTTAATTACCCATCCTTCCTCGCTCCTTTCTCCTCATTAATCATGCAAGTCGGTCTTTAAATGACACCGGAGGCTACAGCATAATTACATCTCATAGTAAGTGTGTTTTTAGAAATTATTTATTCCAAACATTTACAATTTTCACCTTAAATGCACAATAGCTGGTAAAAAGAAAAAACATTGAAAAACATGATATACAGGCATCAGCCTTTGGTATTTGCTCTCATTAGGTAAAAAACAAAAACCTTAAAACTATTATTTCTCTCCAAGAAAACAGCATAGAGGTGAGGTATTCTATTTAACAGATAGGACCTCCATCCAATAAGGTCTATTAATTAACAGCCTTGCTACATGCTGTTCCATTCCTTTCCTTCCAAAGTAGTTCTTCTTTTGAGCATATGTTCATAAAACTGACAATGTTCCTTAATAATCATTCAGGTTGCCATAGAAACCCCTGGCATTGGCACCTAGCCACACTGAGGACAGGAGGCTGGAAGGACCTTTAGGGGACGCTCAGGAGCACCTGGCACAGAATCCGGCCGGCTGCCCTGCCCCTCCACCAGCAGCCTGTGCCGAACGTTGCACGGGAGAGCTGGGTGTGGGGCTCACGGCCCAGTGGATCATGGGTTGCCCCTGCATCTCCAAATTAAGACAATTTCTCACTAACTCCACCTGAAGCTGAGTGTCAGAATCCTCCCCAACTGGGTCATCCTTAAGGACCTGCAATTAGATGATACAGCTCAGCAAAGCAGCTAGGCAAGACATTCCTGAACATTCTCCAGAAAACCCACCAACCACGACCACTCCCAGCCTGCCCCACTGGGCTCTATTCACCACCAAGTGGGCTCCCTGCCCAGTTCTAGCAGCAGATTCTATGCTATACCGTGGTGACCAGTTTCCTTTCTCCCAAGATAGCACGGAACCGCCAGAGACTCGGTGTGAGCTAGCTCAGAGCCGACCACGCAAGCCACGAGGACAAGGGCTCGTCAGAGCAAAGAGGTCTCAGAGTTACCAAAGGCCTCCTAGACACATCCAATGCTACCCCCTTGAAATATTTTTTAAAATATTGCATTAATGCTACAAGAATGAATGAGATCACATTAACTTAGACCTTGAACCAGCATATTTTTTACTTTTCCCACCCAGCAGGATAAGTTGTCATGCTTAAATTGTCTCTGTCCCAACATGTCACATCTGGCTGCATGGCAGATGGCTGCAGGTGTTAGGTGAGTAACAGCGCTGTTGAGGATACAAGGTAGCAGGCGTGCTGCAGAAACACAGGTAAGAAGGACCCTTGGACTGAGACAAATGTTCAGTTACCACAGATTAAAGGACAGAGAAAGCTTAGGGTATATACCTGTGTACACTGAGCAAAGCCTCCAGCCCAGAGAGGACAAACACTTCCTTCATTTATACTAGCTTATAAAAAATGAAGGGGAAAAAAACCCTTCTTCAATACAAAAAAAAAAAAAGGCACTTCCGTTACAATAATAATGAAAGCAATAACAATTTGGAGATCAAAGCTGCCTAGCTCTCGGCAGTAATGAGCTATCTGGATTTCACATCTTCCACTAGCACAGCTCTGCCCGGCTTTGGTAATATTACATGCAGGTAAAAACAGTGTAAAAAATCAAAGAACCGTGGGCACAGAATCACCCTTTCTCATGCAGATTCTCATGTTTAATATTTCCCTTTAACAAGCATTTTTTGCTGTTCAAGTCCCAGAAACTTTATATAGAAAAAAAAAAACCACCATAAACACCTGCCCAACTTTTGTCAACTTGAGTTGCCTGAAGCAGCAACAGGGTCTAAAATGTACAAAGCCAGCAATGAAAATCATGAAAATCACTACTTGCTCAAGATAGCAACAGCCTGAACCCAGCAAACAGTAAATAAAACATGGTCGTTTTCATCCTTTTGCACCTGTGTGGGGGTGGTGGCGGTTTTTCTGAAAGGGCAGACCACTAGAAAAGTTTTGTGGTCTGGTAAAATTTGGGTCCGTGGTTACATGACTGAGTGTAATCACAGCTCCACACTGGGATATACCCCAATACTCGAGGGCACCTGTCTGGGTAACCACCGACATCACTGAATTTTCAAAGCCCGGACAGAAATTCAGCTGAAGTGGTTAGTCACAATGTCACAGCTAGACATTTAGTCGGTCCTTCATTTCTAGCTGAGCTGAATCAAACTCCAGGAAAACAAATAAAAAGAGGAAGGCACTGAGGTAAGGGATTTTTAATGAACCTCCTCTTTGATAACAGAGGGCCCTCGGCTGTCAGAGGTGGGGAATTTCTAGGACCCTGCCTGGTACTCGTGGGAGGCTTGCTTCCCCGCACTGCGGCAGGGACTGAGACACGCTTTCCTTCCTAACCTGCCTGGGGGCTGTGAAGTCACAGCTGCTTTTCCCCCAGACTAGAGAAGACGCAGGCTATTTTTCCACTTTTTAAGACAAAAACAAAATACAGAATGAAACCAGAATCTCTTCTCTAGCAGGGAAAAATATTTTTTCTCCTCCTCCTTTTTCAGTTTTGGGCTAAACGAAGATACTATGTTATTTACACACTGACACCCAGCCAATAATGGCTCTTCCACACTCTGGAGAGAAAATAGTCAGCAGTTTCTTAAAAACCAAATCGAAGTACATTCTTGCCGGGTTCTTTTTTCTTTTCACATTATCTCCCCTAGTTACTCAGGTTCAGTTGAAAAAACAAAGCTGGAGTGAAACAGTTCGATTTCCACACCGGCAGGAGCTGTCTCCATCACTGCTCTCCTGTGGGGGCGGGGGGGGGGCGGACAGAGAACCTTGGTTTTCAGAGGCTGCGGCCCCCTTAGCTCCCCCACCACAGGGGAGCATGGAGACCCTGTCCCCCTCATCTCTGCTTGTCTCCTCCAGAAGTCCTGAGATCCAAAGCCAATACAGTAGCTTCTGTATTCAGCAAATGCCTGGGATTATCATTCACATTTAGCAAAATGCTAATGAGGAACTAATTGTAATTCCATTTAAAACCATCAGGCCCTGAGATACTGTATTATTCACCCACCCACCCCCAGCTGTTTTTCAAGTGTGGGGAAGAAAGGCAGGCGAGAGCTTCTTCCCCCCTCGCCTCTGTGGTTTCAGTAAAAGCCATCCTTAGGCCTAGAAAAATAGAATTGCAAAGGCACTTGGGTTTCAAGAGTTTGAGCCTGAAGATGAAGGCACAGTGGGCCAGGAGCTAGGCCACTGGGGGAGTCTCTGGCTGGAAACCCCCGTTCCATCTGCCCGAGGGTACAGCTTGCAGAGAGGTGTTGGCTGGGCGGGTAACCACCAGCTTCTCCACACTGAGGCCTCCCAGGCTTTGCCCCCTGAGTGTCCAACAGAGCCTTGACATGGCTGTCTTCATGGTGGCCCGCGTTCACTCTAATACCTTTAAGCAGGGCATTTGGGAAGAGAGGTTTGGAAATCCAACCACCTCTTCCTTCTGAACAGATGAAGCAAAGTCATTTTTCATCCAGCATAGAACTTTCTGCAAAGCTCTTCTGTAACAGTGAAGCCAAAGGCTCCACACCCCTGAGATGAGCTGGCACGGCAGTGAGAAGTGTCTTTTGCTAAGCCTGTTTGTGCTCCGTCACCCACGCGGTCGGGCATGCCCGACACCCAGCCTGCCAGGTGTCACACGGCCAGCTATCTGGGGAAGAAGTAGTCTCTATTGCTGATGTCGTAGGGGCTCCGTGGGTCCCTGGCATCTGGCTGGCTGTGGTTCAAGGTGTTGTCAGATCCAAGGCTGCTGGGGGACACCGGCGGGGAGATGAGAGGAACGAGCACTGGGGTGGGCTTGGGCCTCTCGGGGACCAGCTGCCCCAAAGAGTACGGGGGGTGCACGCTCGTCTTGCCTTCTTTCAGAGACTGCAGCTGCCACGTCTTCTTGAGCCTTCACACAAACACACAAAGACAAACCACACAGATGTTTAGTTCCCCCTGCGATGAACCCACAGTGAAAAACACCAACAGCTGGCTGCCTGGTGGCCTGGAACTCCCAGGTTTCAGCTCAAAGGAGTGATAACTATCCCATCAGCTTTTTTTTTTTTTTTTTTAATCACCAGGGATTTCACAATACTCTGGAGAGTTGGTGAGTTTCAAAAACCCCCCAAGAAAATAGGTACGTACTGTTGGCCCACTTCACAAGTGAGGAAATTAAGGTGTACATGGCCGTGAGTGTCACCTCATAGCACCAAAACTCACTTGACCGCCCCTTAATTTGTCCTATTGCAGAGGCTGCCCGTTAGGTACACATCATCAGTCCCAAAATCATTTACTTAAAAAAGAGAAAGAAGAAAGTGTTCTTTTAGTGGGGAAGGAAAATGGGCCTCTTGGCAAATGAAGGCTGGCAAGAGGCAGATAATTTGCAACTGCCGTTTAATAGCAGGGAAAGGGCAGCTCACCCCACAGCCCTCCTGTTCCTCTTGTATCCCGTCCTCCCCGGCTCTCCCTAGGCCCCTGGGTCTGCTCCCACCCTGCTGGTGAGTCCTCACAGACTCAGCCGTGGGCACCACTGGGCACAAGTTGACTCATCTGACAGGAAAGCCGATGTTACACAGGAAGGAGATAGACATCTCTCTGATCACAGCTCCGTTCACAGTGCTCCACTCCGGGCCCAAAGCCAGGGCTCAGGAACCGAGAAAAGTCACTTGACAGCTCAAAAAAAGATGAGATGGTGATATGGATCTTCAAAGGTACCGTCAGGTCCCCTTCCTGAAGGGCCCTTCACGGTGCCGGGCAGCCAGGGCCCAGCCTCACCTCCTCTCTCTTGCTTCCCACTTTGAGGCCGACTTACTGCCTCCAACAAACCCAAAGTGGGAGCAAGGAGGCCCCCCTCACCTCCAGTTACTCCAGGAAGGGCTGTGAGGGAGGAGGGGAAACCAATGTTAAAAACACGATTTGGGGGATTTTCCTTGGGTTCCTTTTCATATTGACAGGCTATTCCTGTCCTTGTTATGATAAATAATTAATGGCTGGCTCCAAATCTGCCATTGGCTTTCAGCCTGGTGTTCAAATGGAATAAACATTCTGCTGGACCTTTGGGTCATAAAAAAAACGGGATAAACAAATCTGCAGAATGTTACTTTAAAGCTGCACCATTCGGACACTAGTAGGAAGAGAGCCCAGCAGGGGTGCTTACTGGAGCTACGCGGAGGCCTGGAGTGGAATTCTCCTCCCCTGTGAGAGGACCGGGGAGAGAGTCATTGTACCCTGAATTCCAAAGTATTCAGACCCTCTGACCTAGGAATTCCACTTCTGGGAGTATGCCCTAAAGAAATAACATAGCTATGGGAAAAGCTTTATGCACAAAGATGTTCAACACAGTGTTTTTTATAAAGGCAAACAACACCCAAATACCCAACGCTGGCTTCGTATATCCACCTAACAGAGGAGTCTGAAGTGAATGAAAGTGAGATTTACAAAGAATTTGTAATAGTGTGAAAAATGCTTATGTTATAGTGCTAAATTTAAAAGGTAGAAGTCAGAGTTGTAGAGACAGAATAATCGTGGCTATGTATAAACAAGGAACTAGGCAGAGGAAAGAGACTCAGAGGAAATTCACTTAAACAGTAAGTGTCCTTGATCTGCATGGGTTATTCACTTGGTAGAAATTCATGGAGGCACGTGTACTCTCCTGTGTGTTTGTTAGACTGAGATCACATTTACATTTTTAAAATTAACAGCAGATAACTTTGGATAACATATGATTTTTTCTTCTTTCTATTTGTCGGTATTTAGCAAATCACCTGTAATAATCATATGTCATATATATATACACACACTATATATATATATATTTATTTTTTTTTAAGTTCCTATTGACCTAATTTAACCAAAATGAAAGCAATCTCTGTCCTCAGTTTTGTCAAAGCAACTGGATGTGTAACCAGAGCTTTCCTTTTGAAATATTTTGAAGAGAGAATGAAACCCATTCTGAAAATCTCTAAGCTCAAAAGGGCCGTTGAAACCAGCCAGCCTGGGGGTGGCCACACCCGGCGTGGGTGAGCGTGAGCAGGGCTGGGGGCAGGAGAGGACACGGGGCAGGTAGAAGGAAAAAACAGCTGAGCTATGGATTTCATTTGCACCTTGACCTCCACCTTTTATCTGTTTTAAATATTTGGGCTTCAAACATTTTTGTTTAAAGAAAAGGTTCTGTAGCTAAAAGAAGTTTTGTAAAATACTCACAATAACTCACTCTTTTTTTTTTTTTTAATAACTCACTCTTTTTAAAAAATATGAGTCTCCTCCCCCAAGGCCACAGAAAGTACCCCCTGCACCCAGGCACTTCCATGGCCCAGGACACCATGAAAGCCCCTCTGCCCCCGCTGTGGAGGTGGAAGAATCTCTGATTTTAAAATATTGGAATGAGACACTACATTCAATACAAAATGATTTTTAAATCATAAGCATATACATAGGAAGTCCTCACTTAACGACAAATATGCCTATTCTAGATAAATATGTAGAAAAATAATTCTCTGCTAGGAGAATCCTATTTTCCCAGCACTCGATAGCATAAAACAGAGAGAATTGGTGGGGGGCAGGAATAGGGTGGGAAGAATTGGCCCCTGTAAGTTATAACATCCACTTAACACGATAGCACACTTTTTTCAACAGTACATTTAAATTTTTAAAAGTTATCACTGATGTTGCTGGAAAAATATTTAGGAAAATACTATGTTTGGGACACAAAATAAATGTACTCAAAGTAAAAACATGGTATCATCGACTGGCAGGAAGAACGTCCACCTGCCTCTCACAATCTACCTATTGTAAATGTGACCATCCCAGTGGTCACCGTGGTTGAGCCACTTCAGTACTCCCAGACCCCACAGCATCTCTACATTTATACTCTTTTCTTGCCAGGAGGGATTTGGGGAGTAGAGGAGTTTTTCACCACTTGAAATAAGCAGCCTCTTTCCAGATAAATTTGCCTCATACAGAAGAAAATGGAAACTCACCCGGCTAGGAAGTAAATTACTAATATGTTCTCAGTGCAGGGCACTCGCCCTGTCTGTGCCTGCAGGGACTCTGGTTGTTTAGCAACCAGCCAGTGTCCAAGCATCATCAGCAGATTAGCAAACTAGGTCTGTTTGCAACCTAATGCTTCTCAATTAGCGGTGAATAGCACACTGAGATGGCGCTGCTTGTTAAAGGCCAGTGGTGGACTGATAGGACCAGCTGAGCCCACCTCTAGCCAACAGCAAGATAAGACCAGGGGCAGGGGCTCTCAGAGCATGTGTTCCAGTCCTGGCTTTCACTTGCCCTTGGGCAAGCAAGTCATTTTACCTCTTGGGGCTGTTTTCTCATTTATAAAGTGAAAGAATTTGACTAGATGTTCCCTAAGGCCCTATCCAAATAGCATGAGCTTTAGGTTTGAATCTTGGCCTTACCCTTCCTAGTTGTAATCCCTCAACCTCCTTCAGCTTCAGTTTCCTCATCTGTCAAACAAATCATATCTGCTCTACAGGGTCTATGGTGGATTATGATCCAGGCATGTTGAAGCCCTAATACTGTAGCAATAGGGTTCGCAGGCAGGGGGTAGACCCCTGAATGCTGACACGGCCCCTCTGTGGCCAAAAGGTTTTTTTGTTTGTTTTTGAGACAGAGTCTCACTGTGTTGCCCGGGCTAGAGTGCCATGGCGTCAGCCTAGCTCACAGCAACCTCAAACTCCTGGGCTCAAGCGATCCTCCTGCCTCAGCCTCCCGAGTAGCTGGGACTACAGGCATGCGCCACCATACCCAGCTAATTTTTTCTATATATTTTTAGTTGTCCAATTAATTTCTTTCTAATTTTAGCAGAGACGGGGTCTCGCTCTTGCTCAGGCTGGTTTCGAACTCCTGAGCTCAAATCCGCCCGCCTCGGCCTCCCAGAGAGCTAGGATTACAGGCGTGAGCCACCGCGCCCAGCCTGGCCAAAAGGTTTTGCTTCTCCCAAGGAGCTACCTTCACTCATTAGGCATCTTATCTTCTGCACAACCTTTGGACGGCTTGTTCCCTACTTTCTTGAAAAACCAAAGTAAGAACAACCCTGAACCCAATTTGAATTGCATCTTGCTAATCTTCCAACCCCGACCACCACTGGTAGTCAAGCTAACGAGGGTCCCTGCAGGGATCCAATGAGCTAACGTGCAGTAAGCTATCTGCCAAGGAGCCAAGGTCTTACTCCTCCTTCCCAAACACGCTCAAAGACCAACTACCACAATCACCAGCTGGAGTCCCTTGAAAGTCACACACGAGGTAAGAGAAAGGAAGGACAGAGTGCAGTTTCTCCTCCACTCGTATTATCATCAGGATTAACTACTGCCCAAAGGGCCCAGGCTGACTCCTTTTAGGGCTTCAGCTTATGCAAAATTGCAAGTTCCTGCAGAAAAATCGCGAACACTTAAAAGTTTCATTATTGCCTGTTCCTTGGGGACACCGCTGGCTAACTCATCTGCAAGCTTGGGAATGAATGACAAAACCAATGACCAAATGAAGAGTGGGAGATGAGGATGAAGTGGGCACAATGAGACAGTGGCCAGGGCGCCAACTCAGCCTGAAAGAGTATTTCCTACCCATGGCTGGAAGGCAGCACTAGGACAGAACATTCAAAGGTCACCCTTTTAATTCTACGTGGATTTAGACATGAATATTCCCGAGGACATCTTGCCAGCCACCTTGGATTTAACTGTGCACATACATACCTCTGTTGTGGGGCTTCTCGCGTGGTACTTTAATCATTCTAGTGTGTGGCTCTTGGAAGGGAGGAAAAGTCATGCTCATTTTGCAATCCCAGAGCCTACGGTGTTTCTTCAGCGTCTCACGCATACTCTTCCCTCTGGTTGTCACAACACCAGGGTCCCCTGGTCCTTCTCCAGCCCCTCAGGCCACTCTTCCTCCACATAACTTTCCAATGTTGGGTTTCTGCAGGGCCCTGTCTTCCACCCTATCCCCATCCTCTCCTGTAGCTCTAATTACTATCTACATGCTGGTGACAACCTGAATTGTCTACCAAACATGTCCACTTGACATTCTCACAGGCACCTCAAACTCAGTAGGTCCCAAAGTTTAATGGTGTTTTTCACGCAGACTTGTATTCTCTCTGGTGTTCCCGCTCTCAGTGAATGACACCACCCTCGCCCCGGTGCTGAAGCCAGAAACTTGAGGATCACCCTGACTCCTCCCCCTCCATCCTCCTCATCTAATCCGTCATCAAATGCTGTCAGTTCTGCTTCTAAAATACACCTTCAATCGCTCATGGCTCTCCAGCCCATCGCCACCACTCTGGACCAGGCTCCTGTGGTCTCTTGCCCAGACGCTGGGCTGCCGCGTCCATCTTCCCTCTCCCGTCTGATCTCCAAACTGCATGGAGAGGGATCTTTTAAAACTGCACGCCTGGCCAGGATCTTCCTAGAACCCTCCGACAGGCGCTCATTACACTCCAGAGAAGGCCTAAAACCCTTCCAGTCTCTTTCAAAACCTCTCATGACCTGGCTCCAACCTACCTCTCCACTGTTTCCTGCCCCAGGCCTCCCCCGACTGCTACACATGCACACATGCACACACGCACACGAGCACACACACTCACACACGCACACGCATACACCCTCAACCATGTTACATACTAGGCTTCTCTCCTACGACCCTCTTCTTTCTCCTCCTCCTTAGTGCTCCATCAGTTTGCCTTACCATGGGATGCTCTTTTTGTAGCTCTCACCACACGAGTGATTACCTCTTCGTGTCTGGCTTCCTCCTGAGACTGTATCTATCCTGTCCACCCTTGTCTCTGACAGCACCTAAAACAGGGCTTGGCCTCACGGTAGGTGCTCTGTGTGTCATGGTGTGTGCATTCATCTGTTGAATGAATGAATGCTCTGTGAATTTCTGATGAGTGATGGGCAGAGGAAAGACGAGAACACCACAGGGCCATCCCCAGGACCCGTCTCACCTCAGGACAATGCCAATGCAGAGGAGCGTCCCGAAGGCCAGGCTTCCTCCAGCCACCAGGAACGTGGGCAGTGGTGCCGAAGAAGAATCTTGCACTAGGTTAAAAAAAAAAAAAACATAGTGGAGAAAGAATGAATAGGAGTAAAATAAGGGGAAAAAGGAGGAGGAGGAGAAAAACACTTAGCCGGTGCTGTCAAAAGCCTCAGAGGAACCTTATCCCTGGAAGAGGAAGCAGCTGTGCTAACCAATAGGCCACCTGACATGCTTAACAGTTTTCTGGCCAAAGCCAACTCTAGAAGAGCCACCCCCAGCACAGTCTCACAGACCCCACCACTTGCCAAGAGATACACCCACGCTCAGAGTTTCTGAGCTGCTGCGGCCAGCCACAGACTCCCACTCACTTTCAGAGTGGTTTCTCTGGTGGCATTCCACCTACCCCCGCAAGACACAGAGCGGGGTACAAGAAACAGAAGGCTCTGGGGACCTCCTTGATGGCAGCTCCATTGAGGACGATGCCAGAGAGGCGCAGATGCTTTAAATCAAGTATTCGGAAGCAGTTTTCTCCATGGGGGTATCATCTCTTTCCTGTCCCCCCGCTTGGCACTCCAGTCCCAGCCATATGAACTTCACTGGGTTCTCCAACATGCTATGTTCTCTTTCCTCCAGGGCTTTCCACGCGTGTTCCCTCTTCTCTCCAGAACACTCTTCCCACCCTTGCTGCACGCCTGTGCTGTCCAGTCCCCACCTGGCCTTTGGGTGTCAGATGAGGTAATGTCACTTCCTTTGAGAAGTGACCGCGCTCCAAGCTGGGGAAGTGCCCCTCCTGGTTACTTCTCCAGTTCCACCTCCAGACTGAGCTCCCGGAAAGTGGGACCCCGTGTATCTTTTCACTGTTAAACTCCCAGCTGCTCACACAGTGCTAACGCAAAGCAAGCCCTCCAAAATATTTCACTGAATGAAGGAAAGAACAAACTAGCTCCATAAGCTGTCATGTCTTCCCACAGAAAGCTCCTTCCTACCACTGCCAGAGACGCCGGACTGGACAGAGGGCACATCTAAGCAGAACCCTTCCTCCCTCCTCCTACTGGGAACGGAACAGCCACAGTTGTATGGACCCAGGATTCAGGCTCTTCTACCCCAAATGGTTTCCACTGTGGATGAAGAGGCACCTGCCAGTCATCGCTTCAGACGCCCACTGGAGGCAGGCACCGCGATGAGCCCAGACGGTGAGTGGGCATTAACTGCAAGGACAGGTCTCTCCGACTGTGTCCCGTGTCTCTTGACAGAAGCAGCTGTGCAACGAAAGCAGTATGCTCGGCTTGCTCGTTTATTAATATTTCATCACCTTTTATATTTGTTCCTTCATTCAACAAACATTTATTGAGTGCCTATCATGTGCCAGGCTTTGTTCTAAGCCTCAAGGATACAGAGGGAAGCATGGCTGAAAAGTTCCTTCCCTCCTGGATCTTACATTCTAATCAAGGGAGACAGACAAATAAATATGGTTTTTTGTTTTTGTTTTTTCCCTCAGGAAAGAGCTCCCTGAGAAGGGGACATTTGAGCAGAGACCCGAGTGGTAAGAAGGAGCTGGCCAAGTGGAGGTCAAAGGAAGAGCGTCCAGGCAGAGCAAGCAGCAAGTGCAAAGGCCCTGGGGCAGAGTGTGTGTGCAGGGGCAAGGAGTGCGGCGTGGCTGGAACAGAGCTACAAGAGGAGAATGGAGAGGCGAGGTCTTCAGACAGGGAACTACCTGGCTCTGCTAGGGCTCCTCAGGGAGACTGGTGCTTTTACTCTGGGGGAGATGGCATTGAGCCAGAGAGAGCTTGCATTTGTGTTTTAAAGGTCACACTGGGTGCTGGTTGGAAAAGAGTCGGTTGGGAGTTAATACTAAAAGCCAGTAGACCAGGTGGCAGCTCCAGAAGTCCTGCAGGGTGCCAGGCAGCAGTGGCTGGCCCAGGTGCTGGCACTGGAGGTGGTGAGAAGTGGTCAGCTTCTAGACACGTCTTGAGGTACAACTGACAGGAGCTGCTGAGGGACCGGCCATGGGAGGAGGGGTAGGAGAGGAAGCAGGCCTAATTCCCCGAGCCTGAGCAACTGGCCAATGTGGGACCAGACACGGGGAAGATGGAGAAGAACAGATCTGGGTGGGAGAGGTGGGGAGGCATCGAGCGTCCTCTGTTAGACATGTCAAGTTTGAGGTCTCTGGTGGGTATCCCATATGTCGACAAGGCAATCAGACACAGGAGTCTGGGTCTTAGTGGAAAGGTCAGGATGGAGATAGAAATTCGGGAATCATCGGCTCATAGATGGTCTTTGAAGACTGGAGCTGGATGAGGTCATCAGTGAGCCTGGGTGGAGAAGACACAAGGGTGCCTCTCCTCCATGGCAGCCTTGAACTCCCAACCTCCTGTCGTCCTGCCCATACCACTCAAGGCCCATTTCCAATGGCGCCTCCTCCAGGAGCTTCCTGTGATTGCCCCGTTGAATATGTTCTCTCAAGTCTCTAAACTCCACCCGCTGTATCTGCGCCTCCTCCCTTTTGGCCCATCTCACACCCTGCTCCTAGTTGCAGTTACTGGTTTACTCTGGATCAGAGCTGCCCACTGGACTGAGGCCTCCTTGAGCGCAGGGGTGGCTTTCATTCGCTCTGAGCCCCCAGCTGTGCAGAGCTCAGCTCCAGGTATTGAGCAGGTCCTCCATAGGTGCGCTGCACCCCGGTAGGGCTCTGCACCTGGGAAGGTGCCGCACGGGCAGCCAGCACGAGGTGCAGGCAGGAATCTGCCTCAGGAAGGGGAATGAGGCCAAGGACTTCCTCACAAAGCCCAAGAACTATCAGATGGAGCATGCTCAAGAGCCGAACCTCTGGAGTCTGGACGCCACAAGTCCCCTGTATCCAGCAAAACAAACACAGGACCAGGGATTGTTCCGGATTCAAATGTTGGTCCGTTTTCCTGGTCTTGCAGGTATGGGGAATCAGAAGCATTGAAATCGAGAGCTTCCAAAACAAAGACTTCCCTCAACCGGCATTCCATTTCGGACTCCATTGATTTCGTTCGTAGCACGTTCATTTGCACTGTGGACCAGCTCTGAAATATTTCACGGATTCGTCCCGCTCTTCTTATGGTCTCTCCACTGTACCCTAGCTAACTTCAACAAACTTCCTCCAACTTCAACATATAAAGGAATAAAAGAACATTTCTGCCATTGATCCTCTGCCAACCCGTCCAAATAAGAAGGGACTTTCTGCAGGCACAAGTCTTGAGTCCCTCGGACCACAGGAATGCCAAAATATCCAGTCCTTACCTGGGAGGCTTGTTGCATTTGCAGAGTCTCCGGGGAGAATATTATCATCCTCGTTATTAGTAGTAGTAGGCGCCTAAAAGAGACATTCCTCACCATAAGCCTGTTTCTGCAGATTCCACCACCATTCAGACCCCATTCGGAGTCACCTCCTCCTCAGAGCTCCCCCCACTCCTCCCAAGGCATTCCTTTCTCTATCTCATGAACCTCTCAGTATCTGACCTTTGTCTCCCTCAGCTTTTCACTAATATTTGCATTATTTGTATGCACAGCTTGCCTGCTCCTTTGTAACTGCCTCTCCAACACGGGCACGGCACCCTGCACAGAAGAAATACTCAACGCGTACGCTGAAGCAGCAGCCGTGCTTGTGATCTGGTGCTTACAGGGAGAGCACCGACTGGATTGCTAGCTCCGCCACTTACTAGCTATGTGACCTCGGCCAGATTTCTTAACCCTTGTAGGCTTCAGTTCTGTTCCCTTGTAAGGTTAACATGAAGATTGAACGAAATAGCAAATGAGGCCAGGCGCAGTGACTCACGCCTATAATCCTAGCACTTTGGGAGGCCAAAGCGGGAGGATTGCTTAAGGCCAGGAGTTCCAGACCAGCCTTAGCAAGACCCTGTCTCTACAAAAAATAGAAAAATTAGTCAGGCATGGTGGTGCACATCTGTAGTCCCAGCTACTTGGGAGGCTGAGACAAGAGGATCGCTCGAGCCCAGGAGTTTGAGGTTGCTGTGAGCTGCGATGATATCACTGCACTCTAGCCCGGAAGACAGAGCAAGACCCTATCTCAAAAAAAAGAAAAAAAAAGTAGCAAATGCAATGCTCATAGTTTAGCAGAGAATGGCTAATCCGCCATCAGTGTCAGTTCCCCTAGAAGCTGTGTCGGGAGCTCTCCAGCCCCACGGGCATGGGCTTTCCCTGCAGCTGTTCCTGCAGGTGCCCGGGCAGTCCTGCATCAAACATGGATAAGGTTCAGGAGCCCCGGAGCTCCTTCCCCGTGCTGCCCAGGTTCAGAGTGGCTGTGCCTCCCAGCTTAGCATTTAGGGAATTAAGGACAAGAGGAGAAGATACAGTTGGATGGGAAATTGGATTACTCAAATAATTTGTTAAGCAGCTTCAGAGGTAATCCTCTTTCCAATGAATTATGACACCCGGGAGTCCACAGGGGAGGGATTCGGATGGACTGAATCCGGGTCTCAAGCTAAGCTGTTAGTGGTTTCCAGAAAGCTCAGAGATGAAACAGCAGCCTCTGGACGCAGGGCAGTTCCGTGCACCAGGTCAACGCTGCTTCACACTTGATAGTACTGGGACAGGAGAACTGCTATCGTCCCCTTTCTCCGAGGCTTGTAAAGGACAAGCAATTCACCCATGGTCACACTCTTAGTAGGTGGCAGAGCTGGCACCGAAACGAAATTCTCTCAAGCACCAACCCACACACTCTCAACCACTAGGTGCTGCTGCCCTGACCCTTTTCTAAGAACATGAGCTCACCTGTGTGCAGGTGGACACCTTGGCCTGCGCTGGAGGACTGCTGGATTCTGTGGATAGAAGGAAGTGTCATTATTCGTGATTCATGGACCCTGGAGTCCTGTGTAATGGGCTTCAGAAGCAGAAAAAAGTTCACACAATGTTATCTAAAAGAACATAACCCTGAAATTACCAAATATCCAACCATAAGGGACTAGCTATATAAATTATGACACAGCCATATAATACAACACCCTTTAAAAATAGTTTAGAAAAACATTAAAGATAAGATAAAATGTTGCATAAAAAATGCAAAACAGGCCGGGCGCGGTGGCTCATGCCTGTAATCCTAGCTCTCTGGGAGGCCGAGTCGGGCAGATTGTTTGAGCTCAGGAGTTTGAGACCAGCCTGAGCAAGAGCGAGACCCCGTCTCTACTAAAAATAGAAAGAAATTAATGCTGGACAACTAAAAATACATAGAAAAAATTAGCCGGGCATGGTGGTGCATGCCTGTAGTCCCAGCTACTCGGGAGGCTGAGGCAGAAGGATTGCTTGAGCCCAGGAGTTTGAGGTTGCTATGAGCTAAGATGACGCCACGGCACTCTACCCCAGGCAACACAGTGAGACTCTGTCTCAAAAAAAAAAAAAAAATTTAAAAAAAAAATGCAAAACAAGCCTGGGCGTGGTGGCTTGCGCCTGTAATCCTAGCACTCTGGGAGGCCCAGGCGGGAGGATCGCTCAAGGTCAGGAGTTCAAGACCAGCCTGAGCAAGAGTGAGACCCCCATCTCTACTAAAAATAGAAAGAAATTAGCTGGACAACTAAAAATATATAGAAAAAGTAGCTGGGCATGGTGGTGCATGCCTGTAGTCCCAGCTACTTGGGAGGTTGAGGCAAAAGGATTGCTTCAGCCCAGGAGTTCGAGGTTGCTGTGAGCTAGCCTGACGCCACGGCACTCTAGCCCAGGCAACACAGCAAGACTCTGTCTCAAAAAAAAAAAAAATGCAAAATAAGAAAAAGTCCATGTAGTTTGATCCATAGTTTCTAAAGAAACATATTTATATAATTATTTATTGGATAATACATTATATGTCATAATACTATACATTCATACACAGGAAGAAATAAATGGAAGGGTAGACATCATCAGATATAAGCACTATTAACATTTTGATTTCCTTCTATGCACCTTTTTGCAATAAAAAATATATAACAAACAACACATTTTCATCTGCCTGGATGGGTTTAGTACACCTTGCAGGAGAAGGGATATGTCCCTCCCCTCCATGGGAACAGTGTTTCTGCAGAAAACCCCGAGGAGGGTTTCTGGCCAGAAGAGGCCAAGTAGCCAAGTGAGAGCCTGGCCCCAAGGGGCCAGAAGCCAGACCGTGACAGGCAGTGGGTGGAACACTGTGGATTTCAAAATATTTTCTTGTCAGTTCATCATTTTTCCATTAAGAAGTTTAAAATAACACAGAAATGGTTTACACAAACATGACGAGCCTCCCTGAGCCAGGAGCAGGAAGGACTAGCAAGGGGGTGGAAGATAGGGTGGTCTTGTTTCTTCTGCTTGGGAGAGAATTTCCAGCAGGAGTACAACAACCCCAGGAAGGAAGTACACACACCACAGCACTAGAGGGAGTGTAAGAACACGTCTTCCCTCCTCATTGTACAGAAAGGAAGCAGAGGCCCAGAGAGGGAAAGCAACCTGTCCAAGGTCACACAGCAAGTGTGACCAGAATTGAACCAAGAATTCATAGGAGGAACCCAGTTTCTCATTCCTTTGTGCTCCTCCCAGCCCAGCCTAGCAGAGAACAGACTTACAGCAGGGCATGACTGAGGGGTGGACCAGAGGGTATGGGGGCACTAGTAAGAAAGCTAAAACCAGGAGATGGGAGCAGCACTAAATAGAAAATACGAGTGACTATGGATGGTCATTTAGCCCAGGGTTTCCCAAACCCAGCCACATTTAGCACCACCTCGAGCCTTTGAGGCCCCGCCCCAGACCTGTGGCCTCAGAATCCTGGGGATGGGACCCAGTCATCTGGGTTTTCAAAAGGCTCCCCAAACTCAGAGAGATGCTTCAGGAAGAAAGGTTTCTACCCTCCGTCCTGACCACCAACACGCATGTGGTCCAGAGAATGATGCGTAACTTCTGGTGGCTCAGATTTCCAGGGTTAAAGTGAGAACAAACCACAAAGCCAGACACTCACAGGCAGAGGGCAGGAAAAGGAGCGCCAGGCAGCTCCTTCCACCCTAGGCAAGCTGACCCTTCTTCAGGCCTTTCTCCACAGCCTCCAAACCACCAACCACAGCTAATCACTGCCCCTCCACGCAGGCACAAAGTAAATAAATGAACCTCACTGAGGAGCCAACGGTCTTCTGAGGAAAAATGAATCACCTCCAGCCGGGTCGCAAACACCACCCAGGACTGTCTGTAGAGAGAAGTTTACTGGTCTGAGGCCAAAGGAGAACCACAGGGAAACGGCTGCGTGTGCGTCCCATGGCATATGACTGCCTGTGTCCTTTATCCTGAGATGATGCCCTTCTGCATGTTGGGGGTTAAAGCATGCTTTCTTTTATGAAATAATGGTGGTGGTAAATGGTGATCGCTATTTTTCACTTACTTTTTAAATTTTATGTCCTTACTTAGCAAAATTAAAAGTTTGCAACCTTGGGCCAGGCATGGTGGCTCACACCTGTAATCCTAACACTCTGGGAGGCCAAGGCGGGAGGATAGCTTGAGCTTTGAGGTTGGAGACCAGCTCCTAACTGATCTGAGTGAGAGTGAGACCCCATCTCTACCAAAAATAGAAAAATTAGCCGGGCATGGTGGCAAGCTTCTATAGTCCCAGCTCCTCAGGAGGCTGAGGCAGGAGGATCGCTTGAGCCCAGGAGTCTGAGGTTGCTGTGAGCTAGGCTGACGCCACGGCACTCTAGCCCGGGCGACAGAGAGAGACTCTGTCTGGAAAAAAAAAAAAAAGTTGGCAACCTTAATTGGTCCCTGGAATTCTTTCTGAAATTTTACAAGCCTGTGAAACCCCAATGTCTAGGAACCTCTGAGCTCTGCACAGGGAGGTCAGGCAGGCAGAGGGGAGGATGTGGGAGGAGGTGACACAGGGATGAGCAGGGAAGGAAAAACGGAGTGCCCCAGATGGATGGCACAAGGACAGAGGGCCCATCCTCCAAGGTGCTGGCCAGGACGGTGCGGTGAAGGGAAAGAGGTGCATGCGGGAGGCCAGGAGTGAGGGGGGTGTGGCAGGGCCCAGAAGCCCCTCTGCACCAGGCTCAGGAGCTCGGGCTTCACCTGGAAAACCACGAGGAGGCATGGCTGTCAGTAGGAGAGACAGAGGCAGGCCTGTGATTTAGAAAGATGCCTCTAGCAGTGGCGTGGAGGACGCAGGGTGTGTACACAGCAACAGCAGGAGATCAGTTAGGAATGCTGCCTGTAAGACTCCCTCGAGATGTGACAAAAGCCTGAACTAAGATGTTTGAGATGTCTGTCACGATGTCCAGGCTCCTGGCTCAGGCAGCAGGGCGGTTTGGGAGGAGTGGGAACGCTCTGGGTTCGGGTCATGCCGACCGAGTATGTGGCATAGGAGGGAGGACCCGGGCAGAAGTGTGGGCCAAGGGAAGATAGGAATCCAGAGCTCAAGAGGTCAGCCCGGCAGGAGACGTGGGTGAAAAATAGTCACGCTGGCATTTACTACACACTTACCATGTTCCAGCCTCTGTGCTAACCCTTCCCCATCTTGTTGAAACCTCACCACCCTATGGGGCAGGGGTTTTGTTTTGGGGGGTTTTTGAAGCAGGCATTATTATTCCCATGTGACGGATAAGCAGTCCACGGCCAACCACCCTAAACGCACCCAGCCTCGTCTGATCTCGGAAGCTAAGCAGGGTCGGGTCTGGTTAGTACTCGGATGGGAGACAAATAAGCAAACTGAGGCCCAGATAGGTACTTCCTGAAGGTCATGCTGGTACGGGGCAGGCCAGGGACTAGGTCCAAGGCTGTCTGACTCCAGAGCTAGTGCCCCATACGAAGTGGTACAAAGTGGGAGGTGACACGGTGGAGGCGGGCGGGGCCCCCAGTGGAATGGGAAGTTCAAGGAAGCTGCAGAAAACAGTGGATGTCATTTGGAGGGGTGAACACAGCAAGACCGCTCCAGAAACGTGTGACCAAGGCTCTTTAACCACAAAACGTCCCACTTGGGGGTGCCGAGGAGAGGAACAAAACAAACTCCCCCAGAATGGACGGCTGAAGGGCTTGAGAAGATAATACGGAGCTGCAGGGACCTAGGCAAGGGGACCTCCCCTTCCCCACCTGGAGGGTCCCAGCCCTGGCTTCAGGGCACCCCCTCAGGTGCAAATGCAAACCTCTAGCACCTCCTCCAACCGGTGTAACTCCATTCTTGGGGAATACTAGAGGGAGTTAAAGGGATTATTTATAAGGAGTAAAAAGTAACCCCCTTATGCCTAATGGGCTTTTCCCAGGCACTTCGTCCCTTGCTCTCTTTGCAAAGGGGTTCTCAGGGGCCCCCAGACTCAACAGCAGCACAATCGGGGAGAACTCCCACCAGGAGAGGATAAGTTCAGGAGAACTTCCACTAGGGAGAAAGCTGCCCTGCACAGGTAACCTCTGCTTCTTAAGGGCACCAGCCTGTCTTTCCTGCCCTGCACAATTTCAATGAACCACTGCCACAGTTGCCAACAACAGTGACCTGGCCTCGCTGGCCAAAGCAGGGGCCAAGATGGTGTGACTCCGGGCTCCTGCCTTCAAACAGAAGGCTGTGCTGGGGCCACTGTCTGGGTGCGGGCCAGGCCCCAGCCTCAAGGTGGCAGCACCTGCTGCAGTCCGGGCTCCCGAGACCCTGTCCACAGCCCTCCACCCAACTCCTACCAGGGGCCCACCGAGGCTGGCCTCCACCTGCCCCACTCGGACCTCCCATGCACACACCCGTGCCCCAGCCTCACTGCGCAGCCCCCATCACTCTGCCTTGCACAGAGCCATGCCTCTGCACCCGCTATTCCCTCAGCCCACAATCCCCATTTTCTATCTGGGACATTCCTACACATCCTTCAAGACACAACTCGGTTGTCACCTCCTCCATGAAGCTTTTCCTGCTTTCTCTAAACCGTCCCAATGAACTGTCTGTTCCACAGTCTTACCGTGCTACGTTACAATGGGGTGCTCCTCTTCCTGGCCCCTCAGCGCATACTAAAATCAGAAAGCTTTCTCAAACTACCCACTCCACTTCCTCCTCCAGATTCCAACTCAGAGGGCCCAGGATCGCATCCAGGCTAGCGACTCTGGGATTCCCATAGCCCCACTGTCCTCATCCCTATAATTGCTAATCCCCTTACATTTGCTGCAGTGTGCATTATCATGTCATCAGACTCACAAAAACTCTCCGAAGGCAACAAGATAGGTTATATCATCCCTACTTTACAGATGACAAGACTGAGGCTCTGAGAGGTGAAGGAACTTCACCAATGTCATATAATTCGATTCCCAGGTCCAATGTGCTTCCTGTGACCTCTGTTCCCCAGAGGTCACCACCCCCACACCTAGGCTGGGAGGTAGGGGCATCCTGTCTGTTGGGGCTTAGAGAACTGAAGGTCCTCGGGGTCGGGAAGCCCATTGATACAGTATCTAGTGCACTGACATGTCCCAACCAGCCAGATAACTCCACTGTCCATAAAACACAGCTCACCTAGTGTTCTAACCTCCCTCGTGTTTTCCAGAACTGCTTTCCAATTTCCATCCTAAATCCCTCTTGCATCAGAATCATCCCAAGTTCCCCTTGCTCTGCCCTCAGCAGAGACGGGAGCAGCAGGTTTCTTTCGTGGTCATATTCACCACTGGGGTTTTGAAGACTTCCCCTGCCCCGAACTATACACGTATAGGATGGAGAGCTCACTCTCCAGCTGCTTATGTGAGAACAGAAGCCAAATGTTCTGTCCTGAGCTCACATGACCACTCCAACAGGTCACAGAAACACAGTGACCTGAGGCTGAAAAAGGGAGACTGTACCCAGTGCTGGCCAGACAGCCCCCACTACACCATCTTCCACTAGAAGGAAGACGTCAGCAATTTAAAGAGGGGCATCTACAGTTGAGACCAGATTCAGGGGAAGGTGACCAGACAGGTGAGAAACCCGCAAACCATCCAAACGGCCTGGGAAGAAGAGCCCAAGCAGATGCAGGTCCTCCGGGAACTCCACAAGAATCCAGAGAACAAACTAGGAGACATGTCATGGGTTACCCCAGCGGACAGAGCAAAGGTCCAGGAGGCCAGAGTTGGGTTCATACAAGAAAGAACTTTCTACATGAATAGATATTTCTCCAAAGAAGATATACAAATGGACAATAAGCACATGAAAAGATGCTCAACATCATTGATCATTAGGGAAATGCAAATCAAAACCACAATGAGATAACACTTCACATCCATTTGGACGACTATTATCAAGAAACAAAAACAAAAACAGAAAATAATAAGTGTTGGCAAGGATGTGTAGACACTGGAACCCTTATACATTCTGGTGTGAATGTAAAATAGTGCAGCCACTGTGGAAAACAGTATGGCCATTCCTCAAAACATTAAAAATAGAATTACACTTCCGGTATATACACAAAAGAACTGAAAACAGGAACTTGAACAGATATTTGCACAGCCGTGCTCGTAGCAGCATTAGTCACAATAACCAAAAGGTAGAAACAACTTAAGTGTCCGTTGATGGATATATCTCTGTGCAATGGAATATTACTCAGCCTTAAAAAGGGAGGAAATTCTGGCCAGGTGCAGTGGCTGACGCCTGTAATCCTAGCACTTTGGGAGGCCAAGGGAGAAGGATTGCTCGAGGCCAAGAGTTCAAGAGTTGAAGATCAGCCTGAGCAAGAGCAAGACTCTGTCTCTACAAAAAATAGAAAAATTAGCAGGCATGGTGGTGCATGTCTATAGTCCCAGCTACTCAGGAGGCTAAGGCAGGAGGATCACTTAAGCCCAAGAGTTTGAGGTTGCAGTGAGCTATGATGACACCACTGCACTCTAGCCCGAGTGACAGAGTGAGACTTGGTCTCCAAAAAAAAAAAAAAAAAGGGAGGAAATTCTGACGTGTTAAAACATGAATGAACCTTGAAGAAGACACTACAGTAAGTGAAACAAGCTAGTCTCCAAAAGACAAATACTGTCTGATTCCACGTATTTGAAGAACCCAGAGTAGTCAAACTCATAGACACAAAGAATAGAATGGTGGTTGCCGGGGCCTGGGGGAAGGGGTGAGTAAATGGAAATTAATTGTTTAACAGATTCAGAGTTTCAGTTTTGCAAGATGAAAAAAGTTCTGAAGAAGGAAAGCGGTGATGGCTGCACAGCAATGCGAATGTACTTAATGCCCCACAACTTTACACTTAAAAATAGTTTAAACGGTAAATGTTACGTATATTTTACTACGATTTAAATTTTTTTAAACGAAGAAACTTTCTAACAAAATGGGGAGTTCTTAAAGTTGCTTATGGCTATTTAAGTGGCTGGGATAAAAGGTAAAACTAGTGTTAGCATGTATCTGGAACACATCCTCTGCACGATGTTAAAGCTGCTCTCTTTGCCCCTTGCAAAGGCACCCAAGACCATGCTGATGTTCAGCATTCAGATAATGAGTGTGTTTTGGGCTCAAAGTGTATACAAATCAAAGAAAACCATGGACAGGTCAACACAATCTACCCTGAAGGATATATTGATTTATTTAAATGGTCTCTCCAAGTAAGATATCATAGTTTGGCCCCCGCTTCTTGTCCAGGTCTTACCAGGAAATAAGCTTTTGAGAAGAGGGTCCGATAGAAAGCTGTCTCCTGCTCTTGATGAACAGGGAAAGTACCAACAAAGATCTGAGTCTGCACTTGATAGGACATGCAGCCAACTAGGATGACACCCTACGCCCAAGCCCACTCCTCTGGCTCTCTCCAGGACAGGAAACACAAGGGACAAGGACCCCATGGCACAAAGCCAGGGAGAAGGAAGGGCCATCATACCACACCATCCAATCTGGGGGAAGAATGTGCAGCCTCTATATAAGTCTTCTCCCTGGCCGGGGCCCGGGCTGGGAGAAAGTGGCAGAGATGGGGATGAGACTGATGTCATTTCCACCTTTTCCTTTTTAGCCATACTCAATAAATGGGTATCTTATTCTCTTTTTTAATTCTAAGTATTTAATAATGATTAATTTGGTTCAACTATGCCACACACAGGGCTAGAGAGATTTGACCCTGAAGTGAGCCTGGAAGCCATTCTACAATAAGAACACAAGGAACAACCAGGTGTAGTGGCGCATGCCTGTAGTCCCAGCTACTCAGGAGGCTGAGGCAGGAGGATCGCTTAAGCCCAGAAGTTCAAGGCTGCAGCGAGCTATGATGATGCCACTGCGCTCCAGCCTGGGTGACAGAGTGAGACCCTGTCTCTTAATAATAATCATCATCTTCAAAAGGTAATTATTATTACCTTCCTCATCTTTTTAAAAACAAAAATCATTAGAAAAAGTCATAGATTAAATATACCTACAATTCTTTACAGCTCCTCCATTCAGTTGTGGAGCGATTCCCCACATCGCCTGCCCTGAGTTCGGGCTGGCCCCCCGAAGGTGAGAAGCGAGGCTCCCGGCCACCAGCCAGCACCACCTCAGACCAGCCAGACCCGATGGCAGCTGTGTTAGTGATCCAGGCAAGGCCCGCAGAAGGGCTCCTTAGCTGACTTATTTTCAGAATCTCGAGCAGATAAATGGCTGCCGTTTTAAGCCACTAGTTTTGAGATGACTTGTCACATCACAACAGACAATGGATAGAGTAACAAAGCTGAAATATCCCTTCCTTCCTCTGCACCCACTGCAGTACCTATCCAAGGGGTGCCTTTGACCTCCGGGCTCCACTGGCTCCACGATCCTTGCTGAAATTCCTCCTGGGCCCGAAGCTGCACCACGTGACTCATGCCGATCCAGGCGTCATGGATGACACAGTGATACTGGAGATCCTTCATCTGAGGGCGGGAGGAACAGCGGCTCTGGGCAGGGGCCCTGGGGTGGCACTGCTTAGGCAGCTCCCCAGGGACATGGTGCCCTTTGCCACCCCCATCCTTCAGCTGGCAGAGAACTCCAAAGGCTCACCCCACCCTGTAGGTGCAGAGCAAGATGGGGCTGCCCTCAGGGCCACCACAGGCTGCACCCAGACCATGCACCAAAGGCTCCTGCAAGCCCAGATGTCTGCCCCGGGCAGACGCTCCTTCTCACAGATGGGCCTGTGACGAGGAGCTTGGCCTGGCATAGCTATTCTCATTTTATAAATGACACAACCAAGGCTCACAAAGGTTGAAAGATTTATGCAAGACCATAGAGGACCTTGAGCAAAGCAGGACCTAGAGCCCATTTTTTTCTTTCTAGTACCCTTCTACCACTCCCAAGTACCTAGGGACGCTTCTCTGTCCAGAAGTAAAAGATGAATTTACCATGCGTGTTGTGAATGTCTTTGCCCGTTCTGCCCGGTATCGGAGCTCAAACCGTAGCCTGTAGAAAGATGTGTTCCAGGAGTAGGGGTCTTGCCAGGTGACATTGAGCCAGCGGGGGCGTCCGGCCACGACGTTAACTGTGATGTTGGCCGGTGGGTCGGGCTGCACTGTGGGAAAGGGAGCATGGCCCCTATGCAGCAGCAAACATAGTGCAGAGGACAGGTCCCTGAAGACTGCAGACCCCAGAGGTCCAGGCAGGACCCCGCCCCAGCCCCAGACACTCCCATGCACATGTTGCCGGGGCCCTCATCCATCCCTGTCAGACATCTTGGCAAGTTAGGCAAGTAATGCCCAAAGGCACCAGCTCACCAAACCCCTCAACCACCCCTCCCCTGCCCCTCCAAGAAGTCGATAAGGAGTATTAAATTAAAAGAGAAGGAAACAGCTGGAGGGTGGGGAAGAGCTTACGTACGGGCGCCATAACCCTCAAACGTGTGGCTGCTGCTGGACTTGCTCCCAACACTGCTGGCGACGCACAGGGACACCACGTGGAAAGAGTTGTCTCCCTCCGGGACTACCAACTGGCAGGAGAACTTCTGGGACTCTTGAGAATACTGGCACGGCACCAGGAATTCTTCCACTGGGCTGTAGAGACTGTTGGACACAAAACAAGGGCAGGGCTCGCCTATCAGTCTCTGCACTTATTCAAGAGGGGAGAGAAGGTCGGGCTCTGACGTCTCACCCCAGGGTTGAATCCCAGCTCCAGACTTACTAGCTCGATTTGGCTTTTCTGATTTTGAGTAAGTTATTCACCTTCTGAGTCTGCTTTCTCATTTGAAAATGGGAATATTAATAGTGCCTACCTCATAGGGGTTCTGTTAAGATTAATTGAAAAATATATGTAAAGTTTAGAGACAAGGAAACTAGCTGGATTTACATATATATGTAAAACATCTAGCCTAGCGCCTGGCACAGAGGACTGAGCGGGTCCCTGAGGCATCAGCTAGGGACAAGCTCTGGCTTCCTGCCAAGGCCTGTGCCCTTATGCTGTGGCGGATGCAGAAATAGATCGAGAGGCCCCACCCTGGCCTCAAGGCACTAACAAAAAAGATCTGCCCTCAGATGACTGGAGACCAGTAAAAATGCCATTCCAGAAACACAAAGTGCTAGCTGGGTTCTGGCAGGCAAGTCCAGAAAAGACTTCTGGATGACAGGACATTTGAGGTGAGTCAGACACCATGCCACCTGCCCAGGAACCCTGAGACTTCACCCTTTTATGACGCACGCGGGCATGTGAGGCCAGGCGAGGCCACGTCAGCACTTGCCCTGCCGCTGGGGTGACAAGTCACACACCTCTGACTCGGGTTTGAATCCTGGACCCGAGCTGAGTCCAGCACGTGGGACAAACTCTTTGCTTCGGGGAAGCCTACCCCAACACCGCCCAGCCCTCCGTGCACCCAACACTGAGAAGCGGGGGTACCCCGGCTGTGGTCTTTGAGGACAGGGGCTTGGTCTTGTTGGCCCACGTCTCTCCCATGCCTCAGCACAGCGCCCAGCCCAAGGCAGGCGCCAAGCTCACCACAGCCCTGTGAACGAATGAGTGAGCATGGCTAGGGCCTCAGTATGTGCTGGGGTCCCTGAGGCTACCCCTACTGTCCTCATTTCAAAAGTTCCCAACACCGTGCTGACTCTTCGAAGCAGATGGAAGTGCTGAGGTTGCTGGTAGCAGAGAACACCTGTTCTCTCCCACTCCCAATGTCAACAAATAAAAGTATTTTAGGTGAAATGTCAGAAATGAACAACCTCTCCACAGGCAGGTCTAGAACACTGCGGAACACCGTGTCTGCCCTGTCTAATCCTGTCTATGGATAAAGGCCTTCTAGGTCCCAAACGAGGTATACCCAGTGTTGGGTTGTGAGGCTTTTCTGGTCTCCCTACTTGGAGTGTGAGACAGCCGTCTGAAAGGCAGCTGCGTCACTCACAGACAGGTAACCTACACGTTTCAGCGCAGAGGACAGAATGAATTACTGCTAGGCCACCTAGCCACAGAGAGATTTTTTTCCTGCCTTATCCTCAGTTTCGCTTTCTGAGGTTTCACTTACCTGTGGTCAACCATGGTCTGAAAATATTAAATGGAAAATTCCAAAAATAATTAATTCCTAAGTTTTAAATTGCGCACCATTCTGAATAGCATGATGAAATCTCGCACCATCCTGCTCTGTTCTGCCTAGGACATGACTCAGCCCTTTGTCCAGCACGTCCATGCCGCATACGCCACCTGCCCATCAACATCAACATCGACATCGCCGTGGCTCCGTGAGCCAGGGTCGCCCTAAGTAAGTGCTCCTCCTTCCGACGTATGGTCAGAAGGTCAATAGCAGCCTAATGCGACTCCACAATGCCCACATCACTTCATCTCATCACGCGGGCATTTTATCGACTCACATCATCACAGGAAGGGTGAGAACAGTACAATAAGATATTTTGAAAGAGAGTGAGAGACCACATTCACTTAGGTTTTATTACAATTCATTGTTATAATTGTTCTATTGTATTATTGGTTATTGTTGTTAATCTCTTACCGTGCCTAATTTATAAATTAAACTTTATCATAGACATGTATGTACAGGAAAAAACAGTATATATAGGGTTCAGTACTATTCGAGGTTTCAGGCATCCACTGGGGGTCTTGGAACGTATCCCCCTTGGATAAGGAGGACTACTGTACTCTGATGACTGATAGCTCGAACTCAACTATAAACATCTGAACTAAGGAGACCTCGGCTCAGGGGTGGAGACAGGCAAAACTGCAGAGGTGCATTTGTTTTCAGCATCTTCCATCTCCTCTACATCCGTGCCTGAATCCATCCCAGTGCCCCCCACACACACTTTATGTGGGCTTCTGGTGGTGTGCAGGGGCCTGGCAGGGGCCCCCAGGCAGGCGTGACTCCCACTGCTCCCCTCTTTATAATGGAGATAGGCTGATATGCTCACAGGGTCCAGACCCTGATAATGGGCTATCTGTGCTTCCCACTCCCAGGGACATTTGCATCTTTTTCAGAGCAACACCCAAAACCTTTGGACTTTGAATGAAATCAGACAGGCTGGGATTGGATTCCCAGCAGAGCCACTTAGATGGCTAGATGACCTAAACCAAGGAAATCAATCTCTCTGAACCTCATTTTCTCCGTCTGTTAAGTGAGGAAAATAACACCCACTTCCCACAGCTGCTGTGATAGCTAAGTCAATAGGATGCAGTTCCCTGCACAGTGCCCAGCACAGGTTGGGGGTGGGGGGCAGTCAAAAAAGTCTTAGTTGCCTACCTCATTCCCTCCTCCTTCTCCCAAAGGAATAACTTTCTAATGGTGACATTCTAGAATCACTGGCTGGCCAGTGATTGGCCACTTGGTTCCTCTGGGGCCGTAAGGGGGGAGCTGACATAAATGCAGAGTCTAGCCCACGACACTTACAACTTCTTCACCAGCAGCACAGCCTTGGTCGTCAGGGAGGGAGGGCTCCGAGGACCCCACTCACAAACAACATTGCTGAGGGGGCTCTTCCGCAAGCAGGAGATCTGGGGCTCCTCGGGAGGAACTGGAAGGAGAGCACAGCAGGCGTGAGGAGGCAGGCAGGGAGCCTGGAGCACAGCCCCCCTTCCGAGGGGAGCACTGAGCTCAGCCCCTCGGCCCAGCCCTAGAGCCAGTCTTGACCCAGGATGCTGCGGCCAAACTCAGCCACGCATGGATATAATTGCAGCTGGGAAGTTAAAGGTCACCAAAGTCCTTGTGTGGGCTGAGAAGCAGCTTCTAGATAAGGGAAGGGAAGCGTCCGAGACCACTTATCTAAAGGGGAGGGAGGAAGATAAAAAAAAAAAAAGGAGGGCTCTGTGGCCTTGGGCAAGTCCTAGATGCTCTCCGGTTTCCTTATCTGTAAAATGACCTGATGATAATGACAGTGATAATAATAATAACACTGCAGGCCGAGGGCGGTGGCTCACACCTGTAATCCTAGCTCTCTGGGAGGCCGAGGCCGGCGGATTGTTTGAGCTCAGGAGTTCGAAACCAGCCTGAGCAAGAGCGAGACCCCGCCTCTACTAAAATTAGAAAGAAATTAATCGGCCAACTAAAAATATATAGAAAAAATTAGCCAGGCATGGTGGCGCATGCCTGTAGTCCCAGCTACT